GACTTACCAGTCGTGAGTGTGTCCATCGGGTCTGATGGTGGTGCGAGGGGTGGCTCTGTGGCCGATCTCCAGCTGCACCTCCACGTACTGAGACGACCGCTACATACAGGACACCATCACATGAGACAATCATATGAGACAATCACTCACCGCATAGACACGAAGTCAACAAATCAACGCATTACTCACCGAAGACATGGCTATGGCTTAGGTTGGCTTCAGTCGCGAGGATTACCTGTCATTCAAATCAGTAAATGGAAGGCATTTGTGACCAAATGTGTCACCAATTCATTGCAATTGAGTCCACATTTCATGCAATTTAGACATCACTTGAACACCAATTCATTTCGCAACCGATCTATCATACAGTCTGTAATAGTGTTGTACTGACACTCTGTTTACAATACGTGACATGTAGTCTGCCCTACACACCACTGTCAACCACAACACGAGCTAAGCATACCACCACATACAACACTACTCTATCCATTCGTTTACAGGTCTCCGCACTAATTGTCATAACTTTTTATTGTTTTATTTATAACACTTATTAATTACTATAAAATTTATTTAATTATTATTTAGTATTAACTAAAATTAATTAGTGAATGCTGTGAATGAGTGTCAAGTGTGTGCTCCCATTGCAATACATTTCCCAAAATCTGTCACTACTTTCAAAGCATTTGACTGAAAAGTCCGGAAAAGACCTCTATATGAAAACAACACTAAAATGTCTACTTTTGTGTGCGATTTGTATGAAACAAATTGCATTTTAATCTCATTTTAAGTTATTTTAAGTTCAGTTTTGGCTGTGAAGCACACATTTTATCAATCCTTACATTTGGCACACAATTAGACATCAGTGGACATGACTCTAGACATTGGAGACGAACCCGGGTTTGTATGCATTGCATGGTATGAGTGGCAGTGCTGTGAGTAATGTCTGCATTTCATTCACTCCATTGACCACCGATTTAGTGATCAGTGAGTGAGTGATGAGTGCAGACATGGGAAGGGAAGGCATGGGAAGCATGCTTTGGGGCTACACTCACACCACCGCACATATGCCACACATACCCCACGTGTATAACCATTCACTCACCGATGGATACTCTCGTTATAGCAAATTATTCATCGGTGGTCTCAGTTGGGAGACAACGATCGGTAAGACATGAGTGAGTGGTGAATGAATTGATGGACTCATTGGACGTATGTTTCAGAGAAACTGACGGAATATTTCTGTCGTTATGGAGAAGTGACTGATTGTGTGGTTATGAAGAATGCAGAGACCGGTCGCTCGCGTGGCTTCGGTTTCGTGACATTCAAAGACCCCTCTTGTGTCCAG